AGAACATGTCCACCTTCCCAGATCTGGTGGAATAAGCAGAAACAATCATCAACATTATCAAATAACAATGGTGTTTTCAATAATCATTCATATTTTTTTGAGTTATGTCATTCAGTGTGGAAATACCCACAAATTAACTTACCATTAACCTACAGTTGTCCCATCATTTTTAAAAAAGTACTTTTTCAAAGCTAAACTTTAGCTTTGAAAATTAAACAAAAAAACTAATAGGAGGAAGTTTAGCACAGAGAAATGGCTTCAAAAATGGTCAAATATTAAGATGACTGATAATTTGAGAGAAAGCACAGATTTTGCTTGACCACTGGGCAAATAATAATAATAATAAACACCAACTAATATCTCAGGGGCTGCCACAAAGAAGGGGGAGTCAAGCTATTCTCCAAAGCACCTGAGGGCAGGACAAGAAGAATGGATGGAAACTAACCAAGGAGAGAAGCAACTTAAAACTAAGGAGAAATTTCCTGACAGTTAGAACTATTAATCAGTGGAACAACTTGCCTCCAGAAGTTGGGAATGCTCCAATGCTGGAATTTTTTTTTTTAAAAAAATGTTGGATAACCATTTGTCTGAAGTGATGTAGGGTTTCCTGCCTAAGCAGGGGGTTGGACTAGAAGACCTCCAAGGTACCTTCCAACTCCGTTATTCTATTTTATTTTATTTTAATCTTGGGCATTATGTATTTTTTAAAGCTGTATGCTATAATTTTAATGACATTTTTTTGGTATGCATCTATGAGAATCTGTTTGAAGAATCAGAAGAACAGGAAAATATTCTAAATAAATGCCTGCCATAATTCAATGGGCAGCAACTTCAGCTTATAAACCAAGTGGCACCAAGACTCACCTCTTTCCTAACACCACCAGAGTGAGTAAGATTAACCTCAGGAGAGATAGGGAGATATTTCGTCCTTCCTCGTTTACATTTGAGAATTCCCAAACGGAGTAGCTATTCTACTACCGGAATAATTTGCATAAAGCCACCCCGCATACTATCCGCACACAACCTCCCCTCAACAGACCAAGGCGCTGCCATCGACCCAGGGCGACATCTGTGCAAACCTCTCGGGAGCCTTTTAAAAACAGAGCCGCCTCCCTCTCATAAAGGTGAAAACAACATTATTTGGCGATCAGACGAAGCTGGGGGGGAGGGAGGAAAGTGGACGTGTCCAAATCGTGTCGCCACCCCTTCAAAGATCGCATCTGGCGACGCTTAAAGAGATCCCAAGTTCGCCGAGGCGATGTGACCTGAGCATCTCGCCTTTTTCTCACGTCTCCCACCGAATGACTAGTGCGATCACACTTCCTCCCTTGCATTTTGCACGAAGAGAACTAGGTTGCGCGTTCTCTTGCTCCTTTACGCGTTAAGAGAAGGTTACACTTACCCTCCCACGTTTTCCCTCCTTTCCCTCCACTCGCCAGGCGCGCACTCGCGATCTTCTCCACAGAAGTCCGCCGCCCAATCTCCAGACGGCTTTCATTCATAAGACGCTGGGCGCCGCAGAGAAACAACCGGCACTTTCTCAGCCTGCCTTGCAGCAGCCATACCGCCTTCCCCCGCGCAACCAAGCCGGCGCCTCTCAGCCGGTTCGAGTTTCCTGAGGCGTTTCTCAGCTGCCCTCTAGCGGAGGTCCGGATATTGCAGCCCAGATCCGGTAGGCAACCAACAGAAGAATCCGTAAAAGTTGTTGTTAATCCAAAGTGAGGACAAGAGGTCCAGCAATCGGCCTCAGACTTGGCAAATTAAGATAATGAAACGGTGAATGGATTCCACCCACTTTGCTGTTAGTCGTTCTTTAACTTTTTCTTTCCATCTTTCCCGGCGTTATGGACTTCTCAAAGCAGCCTTGTCTTCTTATATTGTGCCCAAAAGATGATACTTTGAACCTTATCGTTGTTTGCCTCAAGGGGGAATTCTGGATTGCTTCATTCTGTGATCCATTTGTTTTCTGGTCAGTTTTTGGAGTCTTTTCCAACACCATTAAGGAAGCCTCGTCCTCGATCATGCTTTTTCAAAGTCCCATTTTTGCTACTATGGTGTCACAAAAATAAACATCGTCCACACAATTCTAATCTTTGTTGGTATAGAGACAGCTATTTATTTGTTTGTTTTGTCAAATATGTACAAGATAACAGGTGTAAGTATAAATATAAACATGAACAAAGAAAGTAAATACAGATAAGTGGGGATAGTAAGACAGGATGGTAGGCACACTGGTGCGCTTATGCACGCCCCCTCATTAGTGGTGGGATTCAAAAATTTTTACTACCGATTCTGTGGGCATGGCTTGGTGGGCATGGCAGGGGAAGGATACTGTAAAATCTCCAATCAGTGGTGGTATTTGCCAATTTTCTGAACTACCCAAAATTTCCATTAACAATTCTCCAGAACTGGTCAGAACCTGCTGAATACCCACCTCTGCCCCACATCACAACAATCTGTGTATGTTTTCCAAGGCCCTTCATTGCCATCCCAACAAGTGCCAATCTATGATTTATTTCTTGACTGCCAATCCTAGCATACAGAAGTTACCTGTCACTTCAGTAACCGCATTCTCATTTCAAAGGCTGGACGTCATATTTATTGTCGTTATTTTGGGCTTCTTTATATTCAATCTTAAATCTTTTTTCCCCCAATGCTTCTCGATTTTCATTATTAGAGCTTGCAAGTCATTTGCATTCTCAGCTGTCAGTAGTGTCATCAACATAGTACAGGTTACTGATCCTTCTTCCTCCAGTTTTACACTCAATTTATTCCAGCCATGCTTTCCTCAATATATATTCAGCATATAAACTGAATAAATAAAAGGAGAGTTACAGAAACATTATTAAGTGATAGTATAATACAGTATATTGTTGCTTTGGCCAACATAGCTAGTATATGAGACACCCAGATCTGATCCAAATCCAATTTTCTAGTCTTTTGAATCCGTCTCATAGAATTTTGCAGTTTTCAATATCCTTCTGCAGTTGCAAGACATCACTTTAAAATACTTCCTCAACTATTTAAGATGAAGGAAAAAGGAAATGCAATCTCGGAAATTATATGAATCAAAAAATGTACATGCACACATGTTCCCTCTGTGCTGCACAGCATTGTGGAGAGCTGTACATTTTTTTTTTCTAAGTAATGATCTCACATTGACTTTTCTATTCCACTGAAGGATAAATTGTATCCACATCCTTTTCAATTCTGGAAGAGGCAGGTGGTTTACTTCACTTGTCTATGTTACTATGACAACAGGACTCCAGAGCAAGTTTGCGCTTATAGTCTTCAAAGGAAAAAAAAAAGTTCTATGTTGGGAATGATACAGTGGTAATAAAAATTTATGTTGGAAAAAAAATGCAAGATTCCATCTATTTGGAACTCCTACCAGCAAGGCGCAAACACAACCCTATTGTTCTCATCTTGTTCCTAATTCTCAGCATCAGGTACCCAAGACAGAGTTCATGAATGTAAAGGATTATTTTGGTTATTATTTCAGGCAACCACAATTGTGTTTATCTAATAACCTTCTACAGCTTTTGTGAGTTATCACAATACTGTGCGGCAGCTAAACTCCACAGTTAAGTTGCATAACAAAAATTCCTATTCATTGGTGCCCACAGCATTGCTATTTTAAACTATCAAGTAATAACACAAACTTTTTCTTCACATTTGTTTTAATATTGTATTACTGTAGTATTACTGTGAATGAATAAAATTCTATAACCATCCCTGGATGTCCCATTTTTTGTATCCCAAACCAATTAGTTTTCTCAAAAATAAGTTCTAAGAATTCCCCTTTTAGATAAGCAGAGCTCCCTTTTAAGTTAACTGAGTTAACTACACACGTTTTAAAGATATTGCTAATCTTTTTTTGCACTCAACCTCTTCTAACTTGAAAATACACAACTCCCCCCCCCCCCTTAATTTTCTATTACATTTTTGTGTGGACATCCTGTTTGACTGTGGCATTTTTTTTCCATCTGGAGCAAACTGTTAAGTTTTTTAAAACGTGTCTTTGTTTCTCTCAAGTCAGAGTGTTAATGTAACGATTACCATTTTCTATCAGTGATAAGGGTGAGGCACATATATTATGGAGACCATTTTGTTACACTCATTGCTAGCGGAGGACAGAAGTTCCTAAACGTTTTGCCATCACACCACCCCTTTGTGCAGGGGTGGGCAATTAATATTCCCAAGGAGACACCTGAGAAACTGGGACAGTCGTGGAGGGCCGAACAAATACCCTGAAATTAATTCTGCTACCGGTGCTCATGTACTGAAGGACGAGGGAGCGTGGTCTCATCTTAACCCAGCTGCTGCTCTTCTGACGCAGATGCAGAAAAAAATTTCTCTCAGCAGCTGATTGAACAATGTACTCAGCTTCTTTTACTGCCCCTTGTGGCACATGCTTATTTACATTTTATCTTCTAACTTCTAATTGACCTCATGCGGGGCCAGATGTGGCCCAAGGGCCATAAAATTCTCAGGTCTGCTTTAGTGTAATCTTAATGGCCACAACTTCTCTAGAAATCCAAACTCCAAAATGAATACAAATGAAAAATGAAAACAATACACTGAAACTTTGAGAAAACGGAATTTATTATAACAAAGCAATTAAAAGGTGCATCACACTTTCTCTGGATTCTGTTTGCACCTCCCCAAGGGAGGTTTCACCTCAGAGTTTGGAAAACTCTGACATTAACGCTGGGGTTAACCTCACACTGAACTGCAACAATGGTTAGAAAATACAATTGGACTTTGATAACCTATATATGAAGTCAAACAAACCACATCAATTCTTTATTTTGTAATTTGTTCAACACCCTTAATCTTGTAAAAGCCTTTTCATATTAATAGATTTTCTCTGACAATAGAAAAGAGACCAAGTATTTTAGTATAATCTGGAAAAAAAAACTTTTGAATTTTCTTCCTGTTTTCAGTCAAGGTTCAAGCTCTAGCAACTTGAAAAATATCCCAGATTTCTCCCTCAAGAGAGGAGGGGAACAATTTGGAGGAAGTGGGATCTCAAGGGGAGGGAAGAACCTTGATATGAAATTCAGTAAAAACTGGTTCCCTTTGAGAAATACAGCTATAGATTCATTGTGATACAGGCATACGTTTGCCCATCTTACTGTTGCTAAGTTTTATTATTAGCTATTTACATTTTTTAAATTATAGCATTAAAATCAATATTTCATTGACCCTGTTATACATTTTTCCACACTTTGATACAAAACAATCTTAAATATATTTCCGAAAAGAAGGCCAATGTCGTCAAGATGTTAAATTGTAGGCTCCTATCCAATTTCAGTCATTTTCAGAGTGGTGGTTGTGGAAAAGTAGAAAAGGGAAACATTGTACACATTGCCTTAAGCTCCTAGAGGAAAGAAGGATATAAATCTAATAGAATTTCCCGATCAAGATTTCCAGAGCAAACTAATTTAAAGTAAGTTCTTCAATTTTTCTCTAGAAGACTGTCTTGGAAGACTACCTATCTTCAGAAGGCCATCCTTCCATAATATGGGATGTCAAGCCATTTTTAATCTCCTAAAGTCAATACAGAAGACTGAAATAATACAAATATTTCCTTTTAAGGTAACATTTCCTTGCTTTATTAGTCTTATACAAAAAGTAATTCATTATATAAAATTTATGTATTGTAAGAACACAAAGTTGACATTTGTAACACTAGAGCTTCATATGAATAGGATTATATTGTAACCAATCTTTTTCCTGAGTTAACCACTTTATATGTACTTTTCTAATATATTGCCAGTAAGGTGTTTTACAGTAACAAAGTTATAACTTAAGAAAAGGTATCTGGTGCTTATCAGTGCAAAGGAATGCTACTAAACCTCACTCAATGGAGGTTAGAGTTCATTCTGCTCAATGCATATAAAATGAGCTGATTTATCTAAAATATTTCAGTTCACATTGTAGCAAAGATAAATACAATTACAAATAAGCAAAATATAAAATTATTTCTTGACCGAGAATACAGAATTCAAGTACTTATATTAAAATGAACATTATTCATGCATAATATTTTCTTGCCGAACTTCAAAATGGAAGTAATAAATATGATGATGAAATACATGTACAGGAGTTCCAATGTTCTCTTTTTGTTATGTGGTAAAACAATGTACATCATTACCCGAGTGTCCAAGAGTTTTCAAAAGCCTGAAACAAAATATATTAAATGGAAAATTAATATAGGTTATGTGAAAATCTAGTTTGTGTGAAAAAAGTAATGTAAAAGTCTGTTTTAATTTCCTCATAATCTGTAAGATTATTAAAAGTATAATTTGGCAGGCATGCCAATTCTTAAGGTATGGAATGAAGAAGAGAACATTCATTTGTCACATTTACTCTTTTAAGTTTGTTTAAAGTTTTCATTTGACCTGTTTCACAATTGAAAACTAAATCAAAGTTCAATAGGAACTATAAACATAGTTCTTTTAAAAACAGTCTTTAACTAGAACTCTATTTTGAGTCAAATAATTAATTTAGTGGTGCCAAGGTTTATTGAAAATTGCTTCCAAACAGACCCCTTGAATATTAGCATTAATTAATCATTCATACTGATAAATGTAAATATAAATCAGTCTGGTCAGTCATACAAAGGGTTGTACTTTTCTAATATATTGCCAGTAAGGTATTTTACAGTAACAAAGTTATAACTTAAGAAAAGGTATCTGGTGCTTATCAGTGCAAAGGAATGCTACTAAAAGATGGCTTGTCCAATGAGCCATGGCTTAAGCAACAGCAATTAACAAAAATCATATGTACACTGGTATGGAGGTTACATACTTACAAACCTGAGTTAAAATGCTCATAAAATGCAATTGAACCCACAATGATTCAAACAGGGACTTGAGCTAATTGTGATATAAATTTGTCCATTTATTTAATATAGTCTTCTCTACTTATGCTCAAATCATTTCACATAATGTGTGAGTGTGAATGTTTCAGTTGTTTAAAATATGCAACGTACAAAATATGCAGTTGAACAGTATTTATCTCCTGTTCCCATTTCACTTACTGTATTCCTTGTTCCATAAATGGCAATGGACCGCAAATGCATATAAGTATTTTAGACTCATGTTTACTTCTTTTCACAAATTCAGAAAGCAAAGAGAGGGAGATTTTTCCTTGTTTGCCTGGCCATTCTTTCTTTGGCTCTGAGAGAACAAACTGAATGTCAAACCTGAGAAACAATAATTAAAGACACCAATGTTTAAAATGCACATTTCAAATGCTTAATCCACAGGCATTCCACCATCCTCATGTAAATACCAATTCCTGCAGAACAAAAAGGTACTTCTCCATTAGCAACTGCCTTGTACAGTGACTGTCAGCAATTAAGATGGTGATGAAAAAGTAACTTTCCTACCAATCCTCATATTTAGGCCTTTCACAGGTCCATAAAGCCAAAGAAATGCTGAAGCAAGACCATAAGCACTTAGCAGCAACTTTGCTTAATCATTAAATTGCCAGTCCCAATCGTGGTTGCTAAATGAAAACTATCTGTACTTCCAGCAAGAAAGTGAATCAGTATCCTGATCCTGGATAGTTCTGCTCTATACTCTATACAGCTGGCACAACAATGCAACAAGTTGGGTCGAGAGTTGACCTTCCATTTGTCTAAAGGGCTGAGATCACTACTAAAAGGCAAATAGTCTTTCTCCTCACACTGCTACATTGTTCCGCAGAGTCTGTAATCTGAAGTAGATTTTTAGGGACATCAAAAAGACTAATGAACAATGAACATCCTATTCTCTTCCTTGTCCCAAAGGTGCTTTTTCAAGAGGCAAAACTGGACTTTCTTGTTTTTCTTTCAAGATGTTTTGCTTCTCATCCAAGAAGCTTCTTCTTGGATGAGAAGCGAAACCTCTTTGAAGGCACCTTTGGGACAACTATGACTTGGATGACTAAGAATCTTCAGACATTTCTTCCCTTCCTTGAGCCAATCAGAGTGAATGACTGCTCACAAAAGGTCTGGATGCCCATTGAAAAGTTGATGTTAATAATTTTAATAATTAAAATAATAATTTTAATAATGTGCTAGAACAGCCACTTATTTGAAGTATTAATTATTTTCAAGCATTTTGGCTGTCTACTTTTAGAACATACTACAGAGGTAATTAACTTTGCTCTCAAGTCTTCCTGGCCTTATGCTCCTAAGAATTGAGTATCTATATAAAACTTAAAAGTAGAACATGTTAGCTTTACATACAGGAGTGGATATCATCCATTCTTATTCGCCTTACCTTCATCCAACACTGACAATTCACTTATTTAACTCAGTGTGTGTGTGTTTGTGTGTGT